CATGTCTTCAACGCTAGGAGATACGGCGGTATAGGCCCATGTCATGAAAATAGGGAACCATCTTTGGGGAATTATGAATATGTACATGTCAGTCCCCTGCTGTTGAAAGTCTCAATTTTGTCATTTTTTAAGTGTTGTCATTTCCACTCCTTGCTTCTCAGTTACTTTTGTTCGTTGCCGTCAATTCTGTTCCAAACCGTAGCGATCCAAAAACCAGTGCTAGGACAGCGACCCATGAGGTGAGGTTGCACCCCGTGCAGTTCAGATGAAATTTCTCATACCCTCCCGATGAGGTGCTATTCTCTAAGGTAAGAGGGCCCACAAGGAAACATAGGGCTCAGGGAGAAAGAAAGATACAGGGAGGGAAGAGTTATTGGTGTTATAATGGCAGTCCCCGGATCGGGGGCAGGCTAGGCGCTGCGTCATGTTGATGGTGTTGTAAAAGGCCTCACACAACGAGTTCGACATTTTGTTGGTGTAGCAAATTGGTTTAGTGTAACTAGTCCTGCTGTAGTTGAAGGGCTTAGTTTCTCGCTGAAGATGTCCTGCCGAGGGGAGGTTCAAGCCAATCTCCGTGTTATTCACGTAGAGGGGAAGTGGTGCCCGATTCCCTTCCTTCTAGGACACGGGTCTCGCCAGTGGGGGATGTGAGACGACGGCCTAATGGATTGCCACCTGAGTCATCCAAATGCCGCACAAGGCGCTCAGGAATCCAACGAGGACCAGGTTCGTCCTGTGGGAAAACACAAACATAGCCTCATCCCCATATGAGAACAGGGTCAGGCCCCTTCCATGTGCCTGTTAAGGCGTCTTTCCATTTCACCATAGGTTTCGGGGCGCTTGGCTCCCGGTTACCGTACCTATCTGCAGCCGTGTGGCCGGAGGCATCAGTTAAAAGATAGTTAAGGATGAAGGTGACATTGTTGATATAATTTTGAGGTGTGTGGGGGTAGGATTCCCCCTTCTTTAATTTTTCAAGATATGACTTCACAGTGGCATGTGTGCGTTCAATAATGCAATGCCTTAGCCTTGGGGATTGTAGGGAATGCCAGTGGTATGTTTGATAGAGAAGGTCTTACAAAATGCCACAAAGCGGGCACTAGTATAGCCAGACCCATTGTCTGTCTTGATGCTCTGAGGTATGCCCATAGCGGCAAAGGCATGTAGGTAATGTTTTATCACTTGTGTGGTCCCCTCTCCCATTAAGGGGGAGCAACATCGAGGCCGGAGAAGGTGTCTAGAGAAACATGCACATACTTAAGCTGACCAAAGCTAGGGACATGTGTGACGTCCATCTGCCATAATGCATTGGGAC